GTAATAGTATATATATATATATATGTAAAGATTTCTGGAACTTAAGTAACATTATCAACAACTTCATTTCTTTTATATATCCTTTCGAATGACTTAGATTTTATCAACTATTTTTAATTGTTATAATTTTAATAGAAGAACATCAAAAAGTGTCAGCAGTGGACAACAGTACCAATCGATCGGGAAACTGTTCCACTTTAAGCAGAAATGGATCATCCACAAAAAAAATACGCGCAGCAAGGAGAAATAGAACAAAAATTTATGTGTATATATATATCAGTTGTTTCTGTTAAACGATAATAGCGTTTAATTCAAGCAGAAATGGTTAAAATATATAGGGGAATGCTTTCCAGAAGGAGAAATTAAACCCGTTAGCATGAAGTTGAAGCCATAGTTCTACTCAGTAGAATCCATATAATTAAATACGTTCCAATGATTGTGTAAGCTGCAGCGTAGAGGTCAAAATGTTTTTCTTTTATAAAAGTGAACATTTTTAATCCATTGTTTAGATATCTTCACTAACATACTGTACTAATCCCTCTATCATAAGGGAAGATCTTTTACATTTATTTTTATCTCCTCATCCTACACTATATATATGTTGTTCTTCAGAAAATGAATTATTTAAATACCAATACTTTACTATACCGATCATGTATCCTGTTTATTATATCACTATTAGTTTCAATTACAATATAAAGGATGCAAAGTTATTCGGTACCATAAGAATTTACAACATACCTTGGGATAAAAACATCAGCCTAAACTTATCTTTCATGAGAAACAAAAATATTCTTTCTCCTACGAAACTTCTCAATAAGACGAAAAAGAAAATCATCAATTTCTCCTTAGAAGGTGAGAAACGGTTGAACTATTTCTCTTTAAAACAATAGTATCTCTGCTGGAATAATACTGTTTCTGATTGAATTTTGTCTGAGAGTCGATGAGAAGATGATCCACGTCTCTCGGTCTTTGTGTGAAGTTCTGGTTAGAATGGAATGTGTGCTTGATGAAGTGTTTCTTCTTGACTTTTTGTTGGTAAAGAATTCTTGCTGTAAAAAGAACAGTTTCTCGATTTTGATGGATGTTGTCCAGTCCTCGAAAGTGTGACTTAGAATTGAGCATATGTTGACAGCTATCCAAAATAAAGTTTAATCAACAAATCTTTTTTTAGAAATTCTTTTTAAAAATATTTTCTTATTTGCAGCAAACATGTGTTCATAAATAGTATATTTATACAGAAAACGCTAGAAAATAAATGAGTAGAAAACTTTCAAGAGCTAAATTAAGATTCTATTGTTAATTGAGTAGACACATACTTAATTTCTTGCATAATGATTAAGGATTATCTCGTACTCTCTCTCACTCACACAGAAGCCTCATAACGAAAAAAAATATCGCATTTTAAGAACACGTTGCTTGTTTTTTTCTTCGACCTATTGTGATCCAAGTGCACTAATATTTATACGTAGATATATGTATATTTTTATACATTCTTTCACTCATACGTCTGATTTCTATATTCAAGCTAATTGGTCATGAAATTGAATGTGTTGCTCATTATTTCCTGTTAATGTTTTCTGATTGTTCTGCTGGGCGATATGATTTTTACCTGCTGTCAAGTCGTTCGTTTTTATAATCATTATTTCTCTGTTTTTGCTTTCTTTTTTATGGACATTCCTTTATTTGATGACTTTTGTTTGTTTTGAAAAATGACGACACATTTCGTCGAAATAATAGTCGAAGAGGAAAAGGAATTGGCTAAAAATATCTTCAGGCTCGTAGCTGGCGTTCTATACGACCGGAAGAAACAGAGAAAGAGAAGACGCAAAAGAGAATAAAGACAGGGACAGGCAGAGGCAGAGAAAGAAAGCTTTTTTTTTTATAGGTAACAGCAGGAGAACTGATGGTTCTCTCACTTCATTCATCGTGCGCTTATATGTATATACCGTATCATTAAGAAAATCTTTTTTTCTCAACTCTAATTATTTCGGATACGCGCTTCTAAAAATAGTTTATCATCGGTAAAAATGGGGATAAGATTCTCTGAGCATTTATTTCTATCAATTACGCTGAATGGAAATGTGAAGGAAACGGAATTAGGCGCGGTTTTTGTCTCGTATATGTATATATCTATATATAGATATATACATATATAGATGTCCGTATATTATGTATATATATATATATATATATGTGTGTGTGTGTGCGTCAGCGTGATGATTTTTCAATAGAATATTTTAGACGAGATAGAACAGTGCAGTATATTTTACGAAGAAAGCTATACTATAGACATAGAAAAGTAAGAACTATGATATTTAATCTATATTCGAGTGAAAGCTCTATTTTTCATCTTTTTCTTTCCACAGGTGATCAGTTCTGATTAGCAACGGGTAGAAAAGATCAATGCCAAATATAGAAAGAAATTACCCTTTGATGATATAATTAGGTTCGTAGAAAAAAGAACAGAATGACTATTGTGCACAATTCGCAGGTGAACTGATAATCTAAAAATAGTTCAGTCGGTGAATACATTTGTTTTTGTCTTTTTACATATTTCTTTCTACTCGAGCTCGCTCATCTTTTTTTTCAAGAAAGGAAAATATAGAAAGAGAGCCCAAGAGAAAAGAAAAAAAGCAGAGAAGACGGTTTCATCTTTGCCATAGCGTCTATAAATAAAAGTGACAGAATCTAGATAGATTTATAATGGCTACGAAACACAAGAGAGAAAGATCAAGTTAAAAAAAAATAATCTAAAACAGTTCGATGATATTGGTAGGAAATTATTAATGCAATGCGAAGTATAGCATTTATATAATCCGTCGCGAGTTTCTTTTAATGCAATGCGAAGCATGAAGCATTTATGTAATCCGTTGACTTTTTTTCTTTTACTTTCTCGACGTACGCATCACGAGTTGTCATTTTGTGATTTGTTGATCTCGAGAACGGAAAATCATAGAAAAGTGGTTAAAACGCGAGATCGAAATATCGAGATCGTACTGAAAACATGTCTTTTCCAGTCTTCATCCCGAAGTTCCGTTCGCTCAGAAAAGTCGTTCCAAAATGACGAAATTGAAAGAAATTTATTGCGAGATAATTACTAGATGATATTCAAGTTTCGCTCGAATACGAATGCGATGCGAAGCTCGAATCGGATCTTCACGAAAAATCTACGATTCAGAGAAATCTTGAATACTTTTTATGTCGACATGATGAAATTCATCACTGAGAAAACTCTATTCTTACTTAGCGATACATTTCTAAGGATCGATTTCGATTGATCGATTAATTATCTCCATGATTCATTATCTTAGATCAGCTGTCAATGAATAGACTATAGTGGCTAACATATGTTCATGACGTCACTTTAATTATCTCTCGATAAATTTCTTTCATTTTCGTCATTTTGGAACCACATTTCTGAGTGAACGGAACTTCAGTTTAAAGATTCGAAAACAGATGTAAAAGGTTCGATCTTGATACTGTCATCTCCAGTTTCAATGAGTTCTCTATCATTTATGGTTCTCGAGATCATCGCGACACAAACTGACGGCTTGTGATGTGTACGTCAAGTAAGTAAAAAAAAAACTCGCGACGAACTACATGAATGCTTCTGCTTCGCATCGCATTAAAAATAGCGTCATCAACATATGTTAGCCACTATAGTCTATTCATTGACAGCTGATCTAAGATAATGAGTCATGGAGATAATTAATCGATCAATCGAAATCGACCCTTAAGAATGCATTCAATAATTGTTAGTCAACAACAGTCTATTGCTTTACATATGATTCAGGATAATGATTCATGAAAGTACATAATCATTCAATGAAAAAACACGCTAGAAAACTGGTTGTTACATTTTCAAAGAGATCTCCTAGTGACGAATTTCATAATGGTCGATTTAAGAATGGTGGATGCGAACCATAAATTCAAAATTCGTAGACATTAAGGGAAAAACGATTCTAATGAACTCTGAAATTGATCATTCATTTTTTATCGTATTCCCCATGTTTCGAAAATTCGGCCCGTTTGCTTTGCACCGCGCTCCGTAGTCGAGTGGAACTCAAATGCCATCTATTTTTTCTAAAAAAAATCTTTTGAAGTAGGTGGAAATGAAGAGAGAAAAAGCATCGAAAATCTTTCTCTCTATGTTTTAAAACTTTTCTCTATGCACAGTTGACTATTTTTCTTTTGAACCGTTTGTTGATCAATTTTAGAGAAAAAACCGTTGAAGTTTTATACTAATAGAATTTAAAATTTATACATTATTATTATTATTATTGTCTACAGATACTAGTTGCAGCAGCTTTTGACTAATACACATTTGATGGCATTATAAAAAAGAGAAACAAGAAAAAAGGTAGATATGATGAAAAAAAAAACTCAAATGAAAGTCAATAAGGACAAACCTTGCGCAGATGAGTTCGATTATAGGCAAGAGTATAAACAGGAGGAAAACGCAACCATACATCATTTTTTTAATATCATATTAAATAAATTAGAGTCTGGATTTATTAAGAATTTGTATTCCTCTCGTTCCGTCTAGAAAATCAAATTTTGTGTTGTATGTATGCCAACTAATAGCTAGAATAAGAAAAATAAAAGGAACTGAGAATAGATCTATTTAGTGTTTGTCTTTCACAGAGATTGGAATTTTCTTTCGCTCACTAGAATCACAATTATTAATAACATTAGATAAAGAAAAGAATAATCTGAGATGTTGCTTCGTATTCTTCTTTTAGTTTTTCATCAATTTCCAAAGAAATTAATAATCACGATGCATTGATGCAGCTGTATGTATAATCAACTATTTTAGAAACAATGAAATTTAATCCATCTGTTACCTATTCTGTTGTTCTCATTTGTCGAAGACAATGACCTGTGCCGTTTGGTAACAGCCGGTTATCTTAGTGCGCCACAAGAAAGAAACTAGAACACAAATATTATTCACTCATCCTATTGTAATTCTATATTAAATAAAACAAATTATTAAAAGTATGCCTTCTACATTTACATTAATTAATAATACAATAAACAAACTCAATCAAATAAATATGACAAGAACGGCAGCAATACCTTCAGATATGCCATTACCACAGGATATCGAAGAATCATTTGATTTAACATGGAATGATATTTTATATGATGGCGGATTAGGCACATGGTTGCCACGATCATCATTTCGTTGGTTAACAATATCCGTTTGTACAATTGGTATTATTGGTAAGCTTGAAAAAAGAATTTTCTTTTTGAACAATTTAATAACTATCTACTATATGTATGAATTTTATTTTATGCAGGTAATCTATTGGCTGTATGTACTTTATTGCGTCGAAGGATGCGTACTCTATCAACGTATGCTTATTTAACAGCGTTATGTCTCTCAAATAGTGTCACATTATTATCGGGTATTATATTTGAGTTAGAAATACTGTTTGCTCCAAGTCGTTTCAATTGTGTCCTTGTTTCATTAGCAAAAGCACTCGCTTCAAGTACATTTGCTCTATCAACGTGGTAAATTCGCAGATTCTAAATATTTCTAAGTACAACACTGAAATTTCTTTTTCTTGCTTCTTTTTTAAGGATAACAGTTGGTTTTACCATAGATCGATATATTATGATTTGTTTTCCATTTACCGGTGAAAAACTGTGTACACGTCGAAATGCGTTACTCGTGTTATGTCTATGTCTTTTTTGGGCATTGGCATATTTAGTACCACAAATATTAGCACACGAATGTCACGCAATGCCAAGTGTAAATTCTTATAATTTAACGCATGATTTTGTACATATAGCAACGAACTCTAATAATCATAATAATAAAAGTGATTCAATATCAATTATATTTTGGGTAACGGGTTTAAGTGAAATTGGAAAATCATTAGCCTATCGTTTAACAGTAACATTATTTGTAAATTGTTTTCTTGTACGTATAATTCCATTTCTTGTTGTATTTAAATTGAACTTGCATCTTATACATACATTATCTCTGGCTAAACGGCGTCATCGACAAATGAATCCATATGAAAAGAAACGTAACGATGTTACACATATGCTTGTTGTAGTTATTTCAATTTATCTTGTTTGTATAATGCCGTCGATACCTTTCGCTGCCTTTTTCGCTTATGATCCAGATAAATACGTTGATATATCCTATCATCATCGTACGTTTCAATATTTAGATGAATTTGCGAAATTTTTAATGATATTTAATTCTGCATTACAATGCTATTTATATATTTTTTTTGGTAAACGTTTCCGTCGTGAATTAACACGCTTATTATGTTGTTTCTGTATAAAATATCTGTATATGCGCATACCACACACTAGATCAAATAGTGATCGTGAAACATTTTTACAAGATTTAGGTAATAATGATGGCTTTGAACTTGTACTTAGTGGTAAATGGTCACTTGATCAACGACAAGATTCTATAGCTGGCGTTGAATTTAGTTTTCGTCATCCAAGACGATGGAGCCATTTAACAGCATCATCAGCAGCAACAACAGCACGTTCCGAAGCAGCTGTTAATGATAATCGAATAAATCTTGGTATATTGAAATCTTTCAAAACTCGTGTTGAACAATTATTTGTTCGTTTTAAATGATTTCATTGAATATTGTTTCTCTTTTTCGCTCTCGTTTGAATGTATTTAGTTTTGCTTCCGTTCATTTATTTTCTTCAAAAACTGAGAAAAAAAAAACATCAATACTTGAAAGCAAAAATAATATGAGTAGCCAATTATCACTTTGCATCAATTAGCAGTCTCTTCGACTCATTCCTGGATGAAATGTTGTTCCGGTAATATCATAACAACGAACAGACGGAGCGTTAAATTCTTCTTGAAATATACGTTTAGTCGTACCGATGAAAACAAAATTATCACACCAAACTTGACCCCATACTGATTCATAGGGAAGTTCAAGTACCGAACATTGACCAGCTAAGAAATTATCAGTACCATAGGAACGAGTTCGACCATCGTCGGTTCGAGAATTTAAACCGCATTTAGCCACATACGCTCCTCGATTACATATCTGAACACTACCTTTATTAGCCGAATATACTCCTAGAAAGAAATCCAAACAAGAAATTCTCTTTTTTCTTTATGCATACAAAAAATCTAATCATCAATCTACCTAGAATAATAGCACCGAGTAGAATCAATAAATATGAAAATTTCGACGACATTACTCTTGTTGAAATCAAAAGAATCAATAGACAATGCTCGAAATATTTAAGCCGTGTAAATACATTAATTCATATATGATGAGAATATCAGCATATGACATGTAGTCTTTTATATGCCGATTATGGTTCGATGTTTTTATCGTAACATACAAGCAAATCAATATATATATATATATGGTCATATATTTATTTTATTTTAAAAACAAAAAAAAAGATCAAATAATCAGATGCACTCAAATATTATTGTTTTACAAATAAACATAAAAACGTGTAGAGATAAAATGAAAATGAAAACACGTGTTAGCCCATGTTAAATTTGATTTGTTGTTATAAATTTGCCTAGGGTAAAATAAGTTTACTTGTACGAAATAAGCTCACATAAAACCGAAAACAAAAAGAGTAAAAAACAAAAAGCAATATATAAAATTTGCAATTTTTGTTCATCATAAAAAAATATCAGTTAAAAAAAGCAATACTCAATAATTATCAGCAGGAAAAAAAAGAACGAATAAAGATATCGTTTGTTTTTACAATGTCATCGCTTAATTTGATTAACATCGACAATAACTTTGATTGTCAGTGTTAGATTCATCTTTCGGAGGCACATGTGAAAGTATCACATTATTTTCTAAGACAACAAAAAAAAATGATCCAAAGCTTTGCCGATTTATTTTTCTTACTAAATTCAGATGTTGTTTCAGGTATATCCATGCCTGGTAAAGCAGCAGCAACTCGTCGAAATAACTTTAAAGAAACAATAGAAGTCACACACATAATATATCGAGTGAGAATAAAAATTACGCTTACCTGTTTTACATTATAACCTGCTTTTGCACTTGTTTCAATAAACATAACATTAAAATCTTTTGCTTTTTGTTCACCATCGGCTGTTGATACTTGTCTTCTATCAGCTAAATCAGTTTTATTACCGACTAAAATAAGAAGGAAAAAAAACGAATGGAGATATTAAAAGAAAAAGCCTATCGAAGAACATTTACCAAGCATAATAATTACATCACTTCCACGTTCAGCACGAACTTCTTCAATCCATCTTGATGTTTGTTGAAATGAATTAGAATCTAGAAAATTAATTACTCATATTTTATCAAGGTGACGCAAAATAAACTAACTTGTTATATCATAAACAACAACAGCGACAGTAGAATCACGTATATAACTAGGAATCAGACTTCTATAAATACCAAAGGTATTAAAAAAATGAATGCGAAAGATTTAATTTATTACCGAAATCTTTCTTGTCCTGCAGTGTCCCTGTGTTAATAGAGAAAAGTGAAAATAGAATTCTCATTGATGAAAAAATAAAATAATGCTACCATAATTGTAATCGGACAGTTCGGTCTTCTAAGTACATAGTTTTAGAAAGAAAATCAATTCCAATGGTAGCCTTAATAGAGTATATATTTTCAAATAGAAGATGAGTTCGCCAGAAAAGAAATCAAAACTTACTTGATACGTGTTGTCAAAACTATCATACATAAAACGAGTAATCAATGAAGTTTTTCCAACTAGAATATGAAAAGTAATTTTAGCTATTACTAGTTTTTTGTTTTCTTACCACTTTGTTCACCCAAGAACACAAGTTTAAATTTTCGAAGTGGATTTACAGCCTGTTCGTATGGCATTCTATCTTAATATATTCGACAGATCTCAATTAATCAATCTGCAAGAAATCTTTAGAACCTTAATCTATATTTGAAGAGAAAAAAAACGAAGGATACTTTTTTTTGCTATTCAAAATTCAAAATAGATCGATTGGATATGACAATATAGTAAAAAATGAAGAGGAACGTTCTAATCTAAACAAGTCCTTTCTCTTTGAGTTTACTAATAAGTTCATCAACGCTGGATACTCGGCCACCACCTTGCCGTTTAGGTGGCTCTTCATACGATAAATATTCTTGATGAGGTTTTATGTCTACACCTAAATCGTTCGGTGTCATTTTTGCCATTGGTTTCTTTTTGGCTTTCTATTAAATGGGCAAAAGAAATGAATTATTTTTAGATTCTTGTTACAATCAAATTTTACTTGTATTGATGGAAGATTTGCAAAACGTGGCTGATTAAGACGAAGATCAGCAGTGATCACAGCTGGCAATTTAACGCGAATTGTTTCTGAACCACCATCTATTTCACGCATGACTTCAGCTTGTTTATCTTTGATATCAACTTTTGAGGCGAATACTGCCTGAAAGAAATAAAATGGATGAAGAAATAATTATTTTTTCCGTTCTCTACAATTATGATTTACTTGAGGCCAAGAAAGAAGACCAGCAACCATTTGACCTGTTTGGTTGGAATCATCATCAATCGCCTAAATAATGAAGATCAATTATTTTTTGTTAATATTAAAAATTTTAAACAGGAAATTATTTAATAAATTTAAAAATTGCTTCAAACATTTCTTTCTAAGACAACAATTGATTGCAATCGATGTAATTGGAATCAGTAATTCTTAGATATTGTATTCATATCTTATAAATATAAATATGTAAGATAATTTATATTTTATTTATAAGAAATCTATTGACTGAATAAACACAACTCATCACTTCAAAAGTAATGATCTAGACTATTCAATATGAAGCAAAATCCAGTAAATGCTGCAAATAGGAACGTATAATAATTCTAGGTTTTTTTAAAATTATGATACTATGTGTTGAACATTTTTTATGCTCATTGAATTATTCAATCATGTTGTTTTCGGTGGATTTTTTGGCCGTTTTTGAATATGATATTTTTTATTCGTCATGCTTATTTTTATAAAACACTGCAGAGAGAGAGAGAGAGCTAATTTCATTCCCTCGGAAATTTATAGAAAGTGACGTAAATCGAACGAATATGACTTCCTGTGCCAGAAATCATTAGAAATCACTAAGAGTCATTTCATATTACAAAAATTCTCCAAATATACAGTAAAAAAAAAGAACATCTTGATTTCTAGTAATTTCTGACGATTCTTCTGATTTTCCAATTTTCTATGAGGATCCTCAAACTTGGTGACTATCTTTAAATTCCATCGATTTCTCATCTACTTTATTAATTTCTAAACATTTTCAACGACTTTCGACAATGTGACCTTTACATATAAAACTGATTTCCTGCGATGAAAATCACTAGAAATCAAGAAATCAATTTTTCCCCCTTGGATGATACAAAAGGAAAGCTTTTCGGATGTGATTTTGAATATAGACTATGGAAGACATCTACTAGTAGTCAAGATAGGTTTGAAAAGTTTCTTGATAACTTGGTGAATAGCAAATATCAAGGTGCCAAATTAACTATGTCACAACTATCTGACAAGTAGAGAAAATTCAATAAAATAGTAATACCTATATTGTCAAGTTTATCACGCGAGAAGTCTATAATAATCTTTAGTACGCATTAAATGTCTCCTCTGATTAGATGATGTCTAGCACAATATCTTAAAGGTGCAAATCCTGTTTCCAAATTAAACTCGATAGATTCATTTCTTGTCTCGACCAATCAAATCTTCCGGTATATATAAACTGCTTCTGTCTCTACTGTAAGATGAATCGAATAACTAAAACAATAGGCATATTAGTAAACCTGATATTTAATCGAGAAGAATATTTAATTACTACTTTCTCTGTCTAAAATAATATAAAAACTTACTTGTTTTCCTAGAAGAACTAAATCTATGCTCTCTTTTTTAGCAACAGCAGCAATTAATTTTGAAATAGCTAATGGTTGAAGTGTTTCATAATCTTTGCCATTAATTTCAACATGTATGGCTCTATCAGCACCTAATGCTAAAGCAGTTCGAAGTGTTTCCTTAAAAAGAAGAAAATATTCGTTTTTTCCTTCTTCTTCTTCTTCTTCTCAAAACATGACATGAATATCATACTTGACATTGAGTCGGTCCACATGAGACAGCAATAATCTCTTGTGCAACTTTTTTTTCTTTTAATCGAATGGCTTCTTCAACAGCAATTTCATCAAATGGATTCATTGAGTGTTTAACACCTTCAGTGACAACTCCAGTTTTATCTGTTTTAACCTGTACTTTAACAGCATAATCAATAGCTCGTTTGACACCGACTAAAATACGTATTGCCATCTGAAAACAGAAACTGAAACAGCAATGATTTATTTTTCTTTTAATAGGAATGAATAATTTTTCCTATCAGGTTTTTTTTAATCAAGATTTAACAAAAAAACAAAGAAATAACAAAACAATCGAAATCTATTCTGAATCATCATCATCATCGTCGTCGTCGTCTTCGTCATCGTTATCGGATGGCGGAGCTGGTGTTTGAAAGATTTCATCTGTTGCATCATATGGAAAACTTTCTTCTGGTTTCTTTTGTTCATAAGCTAATTTTTGATAAATACGTTGTTGATATTTTTCTGAAGCTTGTGCTTTAGCCAAATGACGTTTTAAATTTGGTGCTACATATAATGGATTTTCGTAGATAAGCATACCGGAAAAACTCTTTTCAAAAATACAATGTAAATTAAGAACAAATCTAAAATAGAATAAAAAAAACAACTAATAAGATCATTTTCTATTAAACTAAAATACGAACCGTGGACCGATTTCAGCTAATGAACCAGTTTCTTCAACAATTTGATAATTTCTTAACCAAATTTTGTTATCAATAATTGTAAATGTTAATACATGATCAACGAATGGTTGAGATTTCGGATGTGATTTTGGTGTACCAAATATTTGTGTTAATATTTCTTTAATTAATTTCCAATGTGGTTCATCATCGAATTTTGTATCGAATGAAAGAAGAGGCCTTGAACCACGTAAACAATTACCGGTTAATTTTAATTCTTCCATTGTATGTAAATTCTCTACGAGAAATTTAACTGTGGGTCCATCAGGTACAGATGCCATCCATAAGTACAGATCACGCTTCTTTTTCATGTCAAAGAATAAGATTTTATTACAATTACGTAATTCAGCTATTTCGTTTAAAACGGAAAAATTTTTACGCATTTCAGCTTTTGGTTCACTTTTTGAATGTGCCATTATCGAACGTAAATTTTTCATAACGTGGCGTCCCAGATATGATATGCCACGAGATGAAAAAACTAAAACGCGTTGCTTATTAATCCATGAAGTTTTCATAGATTGAACGGTATCCGATTGACGTGTTGATGGCAAACGTTGAACTAATGATGATGTTGCTACCGGTGCTGGACCTAATCGATGAATTTTAAGAGATTCATCATTATTATCTGCATCAATTTGTTGTTGTCGACGAGCTTTTCTTGAATTCTTTCTTGGTACATTCGATTTTGCAGGTTTTGTTGATTTACCTTTTCTTATTTTAGTCATGATGATTGATAAATGAAAATCTAAAGAATTAATGAAAATTTTCAACTTCAGAAGAATTCTATATTTTGTACAAAACAAAATAAATAAATAACAACGTATCGATAGTTATACTATCAGTAGATCTTTGAATATTCCAATCAAATTTGATGCATTTGACTTTATCACCGTGGATTAGAAATTCGATAGATGTCACCTATAGATTGATCAGGGTGTGGGTGTGACTAGTGTGTCAGCATGTTCATTGTTCGCGATTGAAAATAAATTCTCCCAAAAGTTGAAACTAGTCACGAAAAGGATCACCACTTATATATATTGTTACCCATACCAACACCCACGAAACTGACGTACGCTACATGACTCCTATCGGCAATGGTACAAATAGATCGCGGATGAAATTCTCCATCGAATAGGACATGCTTTACATTCAGCACAGGTCACTGAGTAATTGGATCTGGTCATACTCGATAATTTTGCAAACGTTACCTACGTGCACTCAAAAACGATTTCAGTATCCCAGCTGTTGGTCAACACCTACTGTCCCCTACGATTTCAATTTGAACGATTCGAAAAACGTTATTTGAGACAAACACATTCTACGAAATCTGCTCTAAAAAGTCATTAATTCAATTGATCTTCGATGTATGAGTTTCTGAAACTTGAATGAAAATTAACTATCAAGTTTCACATAGAAGTTCTCGTGTTTCAAGTTTCGAGCTTCTTTTTAATCATATATTCAAAAAGTATTTGTATGTGCGTTTGAAACCTAGAGCCTCTATCATACTCAAGGTTCAAGTTTTCAGTCACCAAGTACACACATATGATATAAATAAGTAGACTACACTGTAGTCAGATCTAAAACCTTCTTATCTGAAAACTAATCACAATGTGCACATTACTGATAACAACATTTATCGTCGTTGCAGCTGTTGGTAGATTGGGATATGCGTATGATCTCAATGCAGATTTATCTCGCGGATTGGTTGGAAGCCTTTCGTCAAAACATCGTACGCTTCTTGAGGATGGTACATCTTTTACTGATTTTCCTGAAGATTATGCAGCGATCTACTTGAAAGAACAAAGTTTACATAATATTCCACCTCCCACTGGTATTTATGAAATTTGGCCGAGACAAGGTATTCCGCTTTTTTTTCATCCTCGTTTCTTCAATTTTCTCTTTTGTTCCGAGTAGGAAAACCGATTAAAGTTCTGCGTGACATGAACATTGATGGTGGTGATTGGGCCGTCTTTCAAAAACGAGGCGATTATACATCTAAAGAAGATTTCTATCGAACCTGGCTCGAATACAAACAAGGCTTCGGTGACCTACAACGACAGTTTTGGTTAGGCAATGATCGCCTATCAATTTTGACCAATCAAGACTCATACTGATTAAGAGTCGACCTTGAAGATTTTGATGCACAAAAACGATTTGCAGAGTACCACTCTTTTCGAATATCGAATGAAACTGACAAATATCGGTTGATGGTGGGATCTTATTTGAAGGGCGATGCGGGAGATTCATGAAACTACCATAATAGCAGGTCGTTTTCAACCAAAGATCAAGATAATGACGCATATTCTGGGTCATGTGCACAACTGCACAATGGAGTCTGGTGGTATTATCATTGCCATAATTCTAATCTGAATGGAGGATATTTACGGGGACCTCATCCAACAACAGATAGTGTAGGTGTGAATTGGGCGACATTTAGACGTCTTTACTACTCATTGAAAATGACAACTGAAATGAAAATTCGGCCAGTTTGGTTTAAACCATAATGGTTGTTTTTTTTTTGCTTCGAAATAAAAAAATGTTACGCGCCACATCAGTTATACGTAGTTTTGATTCCATGAGAGTTCATAACAATAGTAAGCATAGGTGTGAGTCAATATAGATAAGCAAGGGAAATCAAGAGCTGAATGAGCGTTCGGCGCGTGATGGAGGTTATATGTAAGAATTTGTGTAACTTCACTTGCAGATGAAAATAATCGAAATACAGAGTACTACTAACATTCCTACGCCCAAGATATTATGCACGTATACATATCGTATCGGGATCAGTTTTCACGCCTCATGTCTCATGCCTTTTGTGTGTGAAATAACGCCATCTATCTAGAGTGTGAAATGATTCACGGGCAAAAAGTTCCGGTTTTAAAAGAATAGTCTTTCTTGAAATGATTTGTTAAATCATATTTGTGCTTCAATTTGAGGAACAATCGTATAATATCAGTGATTGACTATTACTTCAGTCAATAGAATGGTCGGTTTCTTAGTACTCACTGTTTATTATGAATTCAAAGTTTTTCAAAATCTGTTTTTATTCATTTAGTCTAACTAATTGAGAAAAAACAACATTGAATAGGATATGGTTAGTGGTAGATATCGATATGTTACAAGTTGATCTTAAATATATACATAAATTCTCATCATATTCAAACGAAAAATAAAATATTACATGAAAATGTTTCGACTAACAATTCTGTTAGTTATCACTACTTTTTCACGATGCTCAATGAGATCAATAAATTATCGACCAGTTGTTCTTATGCACGATATCGTCGCATTTGCTTCTGATATGAATGAACTAGTTAGCTGGCTTCGAACAGCTTTTCCTGATATCTATGTTGTATCGATCGAGATAGGGAACGGTTTTGAGGACTCAGTTTTATGGCCGCTAGATAAACAAGTAGAGCATTTTTGTGTTGCAATTCGTAATGATGTTCATCTTCAGCAAGGCTTTAATATGCTTGGATTTTCTCAAGGAAGTCTTATTGTTCGAGGTGCTGTCGAACGATGCTCACTACCTGTTTATAATTTAATCACATTAAGCGGTCTTCATCAAGGAATATTTGGTATACCTCATCTTTTGAAACTTACAGCTCGGCTACGTGACTTGATCACAGAATATGCATATGAAAAAATAATTCAAGATCGCATTAGTACAGCAAATTATTGGCGTGATCCAATTCAATTAAATAAATATATATCTCAATGTCACTTTCTTCCTGATATAAATAATGAACACAAAACACTCAATGAAACATATTGTACCAATATATTGAAACTAAATGCATTTGTTATGACATATTCTGATCTAGATGAAGTGTTTACGCCAAGAGAATCAGGTTGGTTTCTTGGTTACGCTGAACAATCTTTGAATATTGAAACATGGAATACCTCAAGACAATTTACGGAAGATCTTATTGGCATGCGAACATTATGGAAACAAGGAAAATTATTTATGTTTATTTCTCATACACACGCCATCAAGATACGCCGCATGCACCTAATAGAGATTGTTTTATGAAAAATATTTTGCAATTTTTTAATAATACACTTTCGTAATAATAGTTAAAACCTCATGCAATTTTATTTCTTTTCCTAACCACAAAATATTTATCTTTAAACACAACAACGAAAATGAAATATAACATTTATTTAAGTTTTCCAATCGCTAAACGATAGTAACGCACATGTAAAGTAATTAATTGTTCATGAACTTTTTAACTTCATCAAATATTTATATATAGATCCTAGCCTTTTAATAAGAACTCTTATCAATTTTTGTGTTTTTCTTCACCTGATAGTTGAGTTCCTTTTTCTTAATTGATAATTTTCTTGAATCAGATGATTGTGAGCAATGCTCACTGAGCATTGTTTAAGAGAATCAAACGAACTAAGGAAAAGTGTTGACACCATTGCACAGGAACATAAAATCAAGTGATGGCACATGAATTTAGTACGAAAAAATGTTACCAAAATAAAGTTCTGTGCTATTATTCATTGAAATATGGCCAAATTTGACGTTTATCATAGTAAATTAAAGGTTCTTTTCCCCTTTAATTCTACGCATAACACTGTGTGAGGCAGAAAAAGACATGCATGCAGTCGTTCGACTTTAAATATGATTCTGATGTAGTTCAAATGAAGTATTGATGTGAAATCGTTTGTTTTCATCAAAATACTTTGTCTTACAAAATTCGATCAATCGCAGTTATGTAACTAGCATTCATTTCTTCTTCAAAAAGTAAATGATATAGTTATTGCTAGATGGCAGTATTTTACACTTGGTAAACTAAATATTGTTTCTATCATTTTTAATTATTTTTAAATGAAAAACTTCTTTTGATCAAATAGATTTCAATCATCTGTTTAAAACGCAGCACTAAAATTGAATCATTTTTAACCAATCGCATATTTTATTTTCATGTTATGTGTGATAGGTATAAAATATACCAATGTTGATTGCTTAGTTTATTATGATCTGATCACAAGACATAGACATGATTAATAATTTGTTTATCGTATTTTTCAAATTTTACTGTTTATTTTACTGGGGTAAGTAAGATAGAAAAGTACAATATGCATAAAATGAAAATATTAAGTAGCGATCCGTTTATCTTCTAGCTTTATTTCATTTTGTATCGATAAACTCCACGATGGGCACTCTTACTTCGCCCACGAATTGAACTTGTAGGCATATTTATAACGCGATATGTACTTTTCTTTTCATCTATATCTTTATGTCCATTTTCTTCGTTCAAATCTACCACGATACTATATTTTCGTTCAGATTCAGATTTTGGTGATGTAGTCATCGGTAAATGACTATTGAATAGTTTTGATTGAAATGGAACACTATCGATTGAGTTCACTAATGGGTGAGAAGATCTTCTATCATTTTGCGATTTATACAATTCGTGAAATGTATTTGGCTGTGAGTATGTTGTTGTTAAAGATTGACGTGGTGACAGCGAAAAAGCTGGTGAAAAGTGTAATGATGGTGAAGGTTCATCTTTCATTGATGATAATATACTAGAGATTGGTTTTACATTAATTAGGCGAGAAAAACTTGGTGTAACAGTCGACTGGCGATGATTTTCAATATTTCCATTGCTTATCTGAAATAAAGTAGATTGAGTCTTTTTGTAAATATTAACAGTCAACTAACTTCATTATGATTTATATGTGACTCTGGATTAGACAGAAATTTACGTTCAAGTTGACGCAATGCTAATGACGGATGCCGTACAAAATCAGGTTTTGTCGGTAGTCGAGGAATTTCGATTGTTCTTGGCACATCACGACGATGTTTATTATAAATATATTGTGCTCGGTCATTTGCTGCTCGTTGAAATTCTAAACTATTACAATCACCTCGTTGTTTTTTTCGATAGCAATCTATTTCAAAGAAAAATAATTATTTTCTATGAAATTCTTTTTCTTTGTTAACGAACTTGCACAATAGATATCATCGCCTTCTTCATTAAGTGATGATTCAGTTAGAGCTCGTTTACAAATTCGACAACGAAAACATCGATTATGATAGATCTAAATGAATTGACATCGAGTTCATTTTCTACTTCTTTAAGTTAACGTGACTTACATGATTCGTTGTCTTTTTCTTTTCGACCATATACACAAGTCCATCACAAGTGTAACATCTTGCAGTTGCAGAAATTGAGTCTTCAATTAAATTTCCCATAGATGATTCTAATTTATATTTGAATAAAAATAATTTTTAAACTAGGATATATTTATGTGAGATACAGAAAAATTTATAAGTCTACTGTGTATTTAGTAGTTATAGAGAAATAAACAATAATGAACAGAACATTTTAAATCTTTATTTTATGATGAAGGCTGAATAAACTGAAACATGTTTATATAAAGACACAAAGAAAACATAGAAGGGACCAGATTGAATATCACATACATTGACCCTCTAGATGCCTATCAATTTTTCATGAGTAACAGATTTTTTTCTCTCATTTGAGTAGTATTATACTCAACTATGTGGCCATGGATTATTCATTGACATAACACTTCCATTCGTTGTTGGTGGACTAGCCATTGATAGAGATGCCTTGTATAAATAGCAAGATTAAAATAGAACGGAAAACGTAGTATTTTTTCGTGTGTCAGAATATACACGATTTTTATATGTGTCCAATTACCTATATCACCTTTAAATACGATGAATATGAAGCAAAAACAAAATTATCATTCTTTTTTTTGTTTTTGTGTAGTATTGAATTCGAAAAAAATAATACTCTAATACACATTGATGCGTCATAATATATAGTATGTACAGCGCCTACCATTTTTCTCCATATCTGAATATGCATACATATGTATATATTAGCTTTTGTTTTTTTTAATTGAGTCTAATCAATCACGTTGATCGAACGTGGAATACGAGACAAAATAAATTTATTGATGCTTCGTGTGATAGCAACAAAAAATAAGTATGATTTATACGCAATTTCATAGTGTTACTCATAGAAAATGGTCATCATACAAAATTTCTAGTAAGGCCCAGTTTTAATGATAAGAATGACCTTCGTTTTATAAGAAATTAATTAATTATCATTTTAATATAACTAACATGGAACGTGAAAACATTAAGAAAACTATTAACATATCTAACTTTGACTTTTACGTTTGTGAAAATGTTGACGTATGAGAAAAGAAAATTTTGTTTTTCTAGTTTGGACAATATATATTATAAGTTATTAATTTTAGATAAAAAATTATTGATAAATTAGTACGAAATGTTTTTTCGTTTGTTTATTATTGCTTATGTGACTTTAATCACTGTTGATAGTCGTATTCTTCGAGTGAAACGACCATTACTTTCATTGAATCTTATCGATGAAATTAATTCAGCACAAACAACATGGAAAGCAGGACCATCAAAATTTATGTCATGGTCAAAACCGTCCATTGAACGTTTGATGGGTGTCCGTCCAGAATATTTCGAACAACATAAAGAACTTCAAGTACTTGAACATGCTGTACCAAATGATTTACCAGAAAATTTTGATGCACGTGATCAATGGCCTAATTGTCCAACATTGAAAGAAGTACGCGATCAAGGAAGGTCCGTTATATAAAAAAAAAAATTTTAATTTCAATCACCCCTTATTCATTTTGCAGCTGTGGCAGTTGTTGGGCTTTTGGTGCTGTTGAAGCTATGTCTGATCGTGTTTGCATTGCTTCAAATGGTGCTCAAAATGTACATATTTCAGCTGAAGATCTTGTTTGTATGTAATCGAAAAATGTTTATCTGACATGAATTCTTGCTTGTTGTTTTCTTTTCAATTTAGCATGCTGTAAAACATGTGGTTTTGGTTGTAATGGTGGTTTCCCACAAGGTGCTTGGTCCTATTTTAAAAAGACAGGTTTAGTAACTGGTGGTAATTATAATTCAAATGAAGGTTGTCGACCCTATTCAATTGCTGCATGTGACCATCAGTAAGTTGATTTAGTCTGTTTTTTCTTTACGATTGACCATTCTTATCTTGTTTCTAGTGTTAATAAGACTTTACCACCTGTAAGTCTTAAATAATCTTGTTTTTGTTTGATAATCTTTTTGTTGTTTTCATATAAAATAGTGTCAAGGTGAAGAAAAAACACCAAGTTGTGCTAAAAAATGCGTAGATGATTATTCAGTTGCATACACTGATGACAAGCACTATGGTGATAGTGTTTATTCGATTCGATCAGATGAAACACAAATTAAAACTGAACTCTATAAGAATGGACCAGTAGAAGCTGCTTTTACTGTCTACGCAGATTTTCTTTTATATAGTTCCGGTGTTTACCAACACACATCTGGATCAAGTCTCGGTGGTCATGGTTGGTATTTTCGTATAGTAGTTCATCCTTAAATTTTAATGTTGCTCTTCTTTTAGCTATAAAAATTCTTGGTTGGGGTGTTGAAAATTCAGTGCCATATTGGCTTGTTGCTAACTGTAAGTTCATTTTATTTTTCTTCGAATTACAGTTATGATGATAAATATTTGTTTTTAGCATGGAATCAAGATTGGGGTGATAATGGCTTCTTCAAAATTCTTCGTGGTAAAGATCACTGTGGTATTGAAAGTGGTATTGTTGCTGGTGCACCAAAACTCAATTAGATCAATAAACGATCTAAACTTACTTTTATATATACTGAAATACTTTCGAGACGATCTGGCCCACTAGAAGATCTGTAACTATTGCATGAATATTTAAAAGTATCATCATTATTATATTTACAAGCATATGTAATATCTTTTAAAGATCCTACGTATTTTTTTTTTCTTTGTTCAATATTTTTTCCATTATATATTATTCAGACTGAAAAATACTGACGTGTAGTTGTGAAAATTCTGCTTGTAAAAATTTTTCTTAATGCTTTAATTGAAAGAAAATCTAAAAGATTGCACAATGGTATTACTCATAATATTCTAAATGTACGAAGAAAAAAATCAAACGATAGAAATAGCCGTTAAGCAACAGAAAAACAGATGGCCGAAACTGAACTACATAAATTAGCTTCAAAAAGTTTAGCACACAAAAGTCAATGAATAGAAGATTTGCATCCTTTGTCTGAGACGATTTGAAACGAATAATGTGAAATTGTAAGAATGATAGATTTGTTTTATCGATTGAATCGCATAAAAAAATATTTATAAGTTAGTCTTTATTCATTACTCTGCTTCAACCTTGTAATATATTTGCCTATCGAATACTTTCATTCGCTGTGTTCTCAATCAAGACTGTGTAAGACGCTTATGCCCGTCTCTATACAAGAGAAATATTTCTCTGGTAGAATTTTTAATTAAAATAATCTATTTTTTTTCCATATGAATTAGTGTGATAAGATAGGTTTTTGTCAATTTGATTTACATTATTTATAACAAATCCCTTGTCATTGCGTGATAAAACAAATGATTTAAACATAGAATTATTAAATAATTTATTTAAGTAATCAAATTATTTGTAGAAAAGTTTCTATTGACTATGAATAGACAATGTTCGTATCAGATAATCGATTATAGTTTTTTTGTGCAAAAACAAACAAAAAATTATTTATTCTGATAAGACACGCAACGGAAGATTTCTTTCTTTGCCTTTTCTTGTGCACATTAATATGCATTCGATACAAAAAAAGAAAAAGAAAAAAACGTAAATCACGAAACAAAGGTTCAAGTAACGAGATTACAGGTATAAGTGAGACAAAAATATAGAAAAGAAAGACATAGAAAAATAGAAATATGGCTGTTATGATAAATTAGGTTCATGATATTGATATTGGCTCATTTTTCTTTGTTGTTACTGGTTGTTCGTTTATTGATGATGATAATATTTTATTATCTGATATCGAATGATTTTTATCGCTGGTTGCTATAGATAATGGTGTTAAATATTTCCAGTGATTATAAGGAGATTCAATAGTTGAACTGATACCACTCGATGAATGTGACGATGAGTTTGTACTTGATGGGGCTGAATGTTTAAAATTTTCACTATTATCATTGATTTGTTGATGAGGTATTGAAGTGATTAATGGACGTGTTGAATCATTAGATGAATGTGTACAATAATGTCCAGCAGTGCAATTACCACCAGCCGATGACGATGAAAAACTTCGATCACATAAATCATTTTGTTGATCGTCTATAAAAGATTTCGGAAAATAATGATTTAAATGATACAAGAATAAATAGCTACATACTTTCAGCAACAGTAGGTGTCGTTATACGTTTTGATTTTTGATGGCGTTGGCATGTTGCATGATGATGATGTAGATGATGAAATTGTATTCCATTTGCTTGTGATGATATAATAACACCATGACCGTTTTGATTTTTACCACTATCTTTACGATTTAAAGAAGTTTTTAAAGGAAATGTATCCGATGGATAATTTATCATATGATGATGTATCGGACATGTTGAAACATTTGAACGTTCACTTGCATAACCAAACATAGCTAAAGAAGAACAGTTACGCATATATACATGTGTTACAGTAGAACATTTCTGAGATCTAATTTAGAACTATATGAAAACTAGTTCCCATGACTTCGTTGTAATAGGAATAAACTCAAGAATAACGGGTTTTCTGTTTCATAACATACTTGGTTGATTATGTGAACATGTGTGTTCTTCATATTGGCCGTGTGAATTAAAGGGTGTTAATGTATGATAAAAGTTTTCTTGTGTATCATTTATATTTTCATTATCTAAACGGCTCATTGGATTTGTATTTAATCGAATAGTTCCATTATCAGTTGATGTTATTGCTGTTGAACTATGCGGTAATGCATTTTGTCCATTCCATAGTATAGCCTGCTTTGAATTTGTTGGATAAGCAAATGGTATTAATTTCCCGTCAACAGCTACAACACCATGTTGTAAACAAGGCGTTGTTGCATAATCAGGATTTAAACTTTTATGCAGTCCATCACAATAATATTCTGAACCATTTACAGATTTAACATGTGCTAAAATATTTACAATGACATCAATTATTCGAAAGTTTGTTTTGACTTTTTCGTATCGATAGCAAAAACAAATTATGAATATGTCTGTTTCGATGACTACTATTCTTTTACGACTACATCAAAACGAAGTGCTAGAGCTCCTGAAACTATTTGCAATGTAAATCAAACATACCAATATATTTTCGTCGTTGTAATATTCGTAATATACACATAACAATAAGTATAATACTTAAAATTAATAAAATTCCAGCTATAATGCCGATAGTTAAATAAAGAATATCTGAACTTTTATGTCCTGATGTTGAAGGTAATTGTGGTGTCGCTAAATCATGTAGAATACGCGTTGGATTTTGTATTTTACTAATATTTTCAAGAATATCATCAAGATTTCTGAAGGAAGTTTTCTGTTGAATATGTGAACGTCGTTGAGTTGAAACTAAGCAAAAAGAAAACAATCATTCAAATGAAATTTCAAAACGCAAATTTGATCTAATTTACATGCTGGTATTGCCATTTCAATGGCATTACTCATTGAACTTAAACCACGATTTGAATAAGCAGCCATGCGTATTTCATATTTGTCATTTAATTCAATTGATGATATTGTGTATGTGTCAATTGTTGGAAAAACTAGACTTGGTACTGTTATTGTCGTATAATTATCATCTGAACTCATGGAACGATAATAAATGATAAAACCATCAACAGTATCACTATTTGACTCATTTATTTTCCATTTTAAACCTATTTTTCCATCTGCTGTTATCCAACCATCGACTATTTGTGGTGAAGGTAATTGATTTTGATTTTGATTTAAAAGCTTCAAAGTGAAACGTTTCGATAGACTCGACATTATTTGTTTACCATTTAAATCGAACGCAATAAGACGAAATCTATATGTTTGATCACTTTCAAGATTTGAAATAATACCATGTGCGATGGAATTATTATAGATTTGCTTGTCAGTTATCCATGTCATCTTTGCAGAATTTAAACGATATTGAATTTGTGTATGCATACCAATTAATTCATTATGTTTCCAAAATAATTCAATAGCATTGTTATCTAATTGATTTATATCAATAATCTCAAGTTTTAATTCTAAAATGAAAACACAAATGAAGAAGTGCTTAAAAAGTTCATGAGATTGAGTTTAAATTACCTCCATGAGTTGATAATGAGAGTGCATGGGTTTTGTCTAGAATAAAAATCAAATTTTTCTTTTAATAATCCTGTTTATTTATACAATTAACTAATTCTAATAAACACAAAAACGAAAACTGACAAAACTAACCAGGAACATTTAAACCCAAACCTTGTATGTGAACATAGCATTTCGCTGTACTTGTACCAAAACCAATTTTAGATGCAACACATTCATACAATCCACTATCAGATTTTTGTGCTGACACGATACGTAAACCGCCGGACGGAAGCATTTCATAACGGCGCATTAGATTTAAATTAATCATTTCATTATTATGTAACCATTGAACAGTTGAACTTGTTTGTGTTAAACAATGCAATTGAATTGTTTCGCCTTCATAAACTGTTATATTATTTGGTCCAATTACAATTAGAGATTTTTTATTAGGAATATCTGGCTCGATATTTTCTAAGAAATGAAAAGCAAAATTAAAAAAATGAAATAAAACTTTTAGTTTTGTCTTGGTACCTTCTGATTTTATATGATTTGGAAATATAAGAACAGTACTGGCTTGAGTAATACCATATGGATTACGACCAATACATTGATATATACCTTCTTTAGGTTGATTAAGAGATAAAATACCGCCTAAACAAAAATGAATTCATTTCTAACAGCTTATAAAAACACTTTTTTGATATTTCTCGAGGCGAGAGTAAATTTTTTATTTGATTCCAACCGGGAGAACTTCTTTTTTTCTTTCATCAAGGTCAAAAACATTATATATCCATTTGAAATGTTACTTTTTTTTCATAGCTATAACATTGCTATTGTCAAGCAAACTGTCAAAAATGATGTATTATACATAAAAATGGTCTCAATAGAATTAGAACTTGGCTTATGTGAACTTTTGATTCTATGTTGGATAATAATGAATTTCCGTTAGATGAAACTTCTTTATATACCTGTAACAGGTGATCCATTAATTGTGATTTCTTCTCCATTATATAGCCAGCTAATAACGGGTTCAGGTCGACCGCGAAATGTACATTTAACTGATACACTTTCTCCTCGATTGATTCGAATAACGGAATCAGGACGTTGAACAAGTTTTGGTGGTTCTAAAAAATAGAATAAAATTTGATCATCGTTTTTAGTTATTGAAAAACTTTAGCTTTACCTAAAACTTCCAATAGAGCTGTATAGGCAATATCCGATTGACCGTTGGAACTTGATGCTCGACATATATATGTTCCACGATCATCCAAATGTATATCATATAAATATAATGTACCATGTAAAACTTCAGTTCGTTTTTCCGGTAAAATATCACCATATTTTTCCCATTCAACAATTGGCTTAGGCCAACCAGCAATAACACATTCAATAGAAAAATTATGTCCAACAAGAACTCTATAGATTATTTTAATAATAATATCATTTTTTTTTGTTCTTAATACAAATAAAATATTTTACCTTGAAGCAACAGGTGGTTTATATACAGTTGTTAATGGTAAGCGATCTTGATTATTTGTGGGCTTGTTGAATATTTGTAAAGTAGTTGTTTGACTATTATCTACAATCTGTCCAGTCAAAGGATTCTTAGCTGAACATTGATATTTTCCTGCATCGGATTGTTTTATATCGATAATATGTAAATTGCCACTTGGTAAAATTTTATATCGATCTAAGGAAAAATAAGAATTTTAAATTTTCGAAATAATAAATCTCAAATTAGATCGTACTGGATTTTGATTCAATATCTAAAGAATTATTATTCAAAGTAAAAATTGGTATTGGCCGTGGATTACCATTTGGTAATTCACATGATATGACAGCAATATTATCTTCAGTTAAATTAAGTATATTATTTTCATTGAATAATGTTTTAAAAGGATCCAAGGCTAAAAAAGAAGAAGAATAAATAATTAAAGATATCACTTAATTGAATCAATTAATTCTTTCAAAAAAAGAAAATTAACAAACATCACATTCGAAATGAACAGATGGATGATTCAGCGAGAAATCTATATGCATGCATTTTCCACATGTTAACGTTTTCGTTGTCATTTAACATAAATTCAATTGACTAAATTTGGAGTCATCTCTTTTTTCTATCAAGCTGAGAGCAAAGAGAAAATGGACACTTGACCCTCACATTGTCTTGACAAAAAGAAAAACATCTGTATGTTCACAATTAACTAGTTCATCTTCGAATGAGTACACCAATGATGATGTTCATCAATGTTGCATTTCACATCTTGATTAGCTATTGAACAAATAGAATAAGGCGTGTGCATCTTTCCATTACTGTGGTCTCCTGTAGTCAAATTTATGACGCCCCATCCATATACAAGCTCGGATGTTTGTGAGTGAGAGGCGCCGGTCATCATCAACAATATACAGACCTCAATTTCCGAGAAAAAGATAGGAGATGCATAAAAAAAAGAAACCTTTCCTTCTTGTGCTAAGTGAATTACGGATAAAATAATATCCGGCTTAATATGTGCATGACCGATGATTGTAACTATGTCGGAAAGAAGAAATCTCTTCTGCTATTTGACGAAACATGAACAAGAGTTGATCATTATTCATTCAGATATTTTACATTGTTCATTAAATAATAAACGATACAAACAATGCAACGACATTCATCATTTTTATGTCGTAACAATTCTGTCTGAAAGAATGATGATTGTGCAGATTTTTCAATCAATACAATCGAGCAACTTATGTTGCCGACATATTAGAAAATTAGCTTGATGATATTAGTAATGAACAGACGCCGAACGATTTATATTTAACGATAAATCTTGTTTTTCATAATTATAGAGACTGATCGCCTATTCAGTTGTCTGCATAGTCTTCTTCTATTCCTCCGCCTCTTCCTTTTAACCAAAAAGCGAATATCTATGTACATACGGTGAGAAGACATACATACATATATATATATATATATTGATGTGTATATACATATAAAATTAATGATCATCATTGAAGATAGAATCCAACCTCCCCCGACTGGTCACTTATCTTTTCTCTGTGCCGTTCCATCATTTTGATCGAGATAGCCTACGGTTGATCTTGACCTTTTTCGTCGTCTTTCTTTTTTCTCTTCTTTTTTTGTGCAATGATTCTATCAAGACAAAACAATGATGACAGAGTTGTACTGCTCATGGGAAATCCTCTTTCTTCTTCTGGTCATAGTCATCCCTCAAGCTAAATATATCTCTATATGTATATAAGGGTGACATTTTACTAGATTGTTGATACATAACCTATCTGTTTAACATATATTATTCGCAAGCAAAGATAGAGACGACCAAGACGATGCGATGAGTATGATCTATTGTGTATGCAATACAAATCAAGAATGAACATCCGATTGTATGAACAATAAGTTGCGTAAGATAAAGCAATAAAATTCATCGAACAACTAGCTATGTTCTAATTGCAAGACGGAAGAAAAAGAGAAGAAAGACATGTGCATGTATTCTCAACACTAGACTTATTTGCACATTTTATGCATCATATTGAGATTTCTTATTCATTTATTCACTCCTCATTCTAACAGACTAAGAGTGCATTTAGACAGAAATCTTCATGTTCTTGATTATCTTGGCAATTTCAGTGAGAGCAGCAAACAAGAACATCTCTCAAGGCAAAAGGACAACAAAGGAAAAGAAGATTTTTTTCTTTCTTTTTTCTATTTGTTAAACAATCTTCTAGGCGCATGCATATACTATGTATGTCTAAAGCTTGAAAAAAGTAAATAGAGAATTGTTCGATCGAATTCAATCGCTTACGATTATATACTTGACAGCATCAAAGCATACAACATACACTCGGGCTATTTGATATTAATAATCAAACTATAAGTTTGCCATTCCTACTGGACAGGTCATTGACCGTCGTCGTCGTCTCCTTTGTTTCATCGTTTTCAGTATATGTATAGAGAGAGAGACAGAGACACTCGGACAACAATATATGCATATAAAGACGGAGGCAACTAAATTATATTAACTACAGGAGTAGCCTATATTACTGTCGTTTTAACCGGAGGAACTATAGACGTTTTTGTTTAGTGTTTTTTTTTTTCTTGACAAATAGGAGTCATAAAAAGGTGCTGCTGGCTAGTAATTTAATCGCTGATCATTATTTTCTATGAAGACCAAATGAAATCATAATTAGAGAAACGTTTCATCTATTGCTTATGGAGATTTAATGAACCATTAAAAATTATATCAAAAAACGATAAGAAAAGAGTAGTAGTCTACTCATTTGGGTACCATTTGTCTCGAATACAACTAAGACGAGTTGATTTAAACAATTAAGAAAGGCGGCAGGAGAAACAAGAAAAAGACATCACCTTCGTATCTTTTAATGAGCTATAGTGACAGGTCTCATTTGAACATATGTGTCTGTACATACACATGTACACATCTTGACATTGATGCGACAAGTTGTCAAGTTAGTTTGATTCATATTAAGAAAGAAAGTAAACATAAAAATCTTACTTGGTAAACTTAACATTGCCGGTTCACTTTCAAGTAGACCATAACGAGTCGATACAACACAGGCATAAGCGCCCGGTTGTGTATAAGCAGTATCACCGAATTGAAATATTCGTAATTCATTATCATGCATTTCAATTATCGATGGATTCAATTCAATACGTTGTCCGACATGAGTCCAATAAGCAACCGATATGAATGGTGTATCACTACTCTCACATAATAGTCGTGCTTCAGATGATGATGGTATTACAGCTGATTGAGGATGTACACGAACTTGTGGTAAAGCATCTTGATTTGCACGAAGAAAGAAAAAGACAAAGATTATATTTCATTGAAATGAAAGACAATTATTTTACTTACTAATTGTATTCGAATAAAATATCAATGCGATAATATAGATGAATTTCATTGTGCATATTATATTATAAAGAAATAAAACAAAAACAAAGACATCTACAATTAACGAAACCATATGATATAACGTTTAGAGTAACAAAATACGAATAAAAATAGGAAGAAATCTTCATTAGCACACATGGATGCATCAATTGTTCATACAAATGAGCATCCAAACAGCCAGAACAATAACAATACTAACATTACCAACCCCATCCTTAACTTTAATGAGATCAGGTTGAACGAGAACTGACCGCCTATCGTCAGCTGTTCGTTCAGTCAGTCTTTCGTTATATATATATATAAATACACACGAGGAGAAAAGACATAGACGGCGTGTAAAAGTAGATGAGGGGTGTTATTGTTGATTGTCGAGAGTATTTTGTGCGTAATTACAAGAGTAAAAGTAGTAGACGATGAAGATGATCATAATGGAAGCATCTTTAAGTAAAAAAGAAAAAAAGAATTAATACAAGCCGACAGAAGAAGAAAGGTGGCTACTCTCGACATTGTTCAAACATGAAGCGCGAAAGGCGAAGACAGAGAGAGAAAGAGAGAGAAAGAATTCAATAAGTCATCATCATTTCTCTTTCCAATGCATTTGTTCATTCATATTTTTTTCTCGTTTCTCTTCAAAGACTGTTCGTCTGTCAGCGAGCTGCTTCCCTTGCTTTCTTTTTCTCCTATTCTCTCCTATTCGCTCTCTCTCTCTCTCTCTCTCTCTCTCTGAGTCTCTCGTACAATTTGTTTTAGCATTTCCGCCTATATTCTCTTGGTCGTCTCATTCAATACGAGAACATGCAAAGGTGAACAAAAATAGTAACTCCACCCCTATCGTCACAACAGTAGCACATCACCATTGTTAGCTAGAATACGACATCAGATATATGCAAAACGGAGAAAAAAGACGAGAACAACACAAGAAAAACGTCAACAGGGAATTACGTGTCAATGTCTCGGCTGAATATGCCTTATGAATAAATAAGCAAAAAAAAGAAGGAAAAAAAAGATGAAGAAGAAGAACGTTTCAATGATCAATAAACTTAGAGAAACTAAAAAGACATGTTTCACACTTTTTCTTTATTCTTTTATTATTATTTTTCGCTACATGTCGAAATACAAAGCACAAATAAACTCTTCTACTTTTGAGTAGATACATGAAAGTCGTCATAGTAAACACCTCATATGAATGAACTTTCAAGGCAAATAAATCATCTTTACCGACGCCGATCCTCATCTCTTTGTACACACATCCATATCAAATAGAAAATACAGAAACACAAAAAGAAAAACCCGAGACAACCGATGCGATCACTTCTTGTGCTTCAAATAAAATGTATTTTTAGATGTATGAATATATGCTAAGATTACTATCAATCTTCAATCAACATGCAATTGAACAGTTCATATAGCTATATATCCGAAAAAAAGAAGAATCAGATGTGCTATATAGTCAATCAATAAAAGAAATATGTTAGCGGTCTCATATATATATATATATATAGAGAAAAAAAGATGAAAACAGTTCAAACATTTTACCGACAAGCGTTCACATTTTCTTCTTGGGATAAACTATTAATCGGACAAAGAAATCTGTCGCCACTAGTTCCATTAACTACAAAAAAAAGCCAACCAGTTCAGTTTTTTCCTACTGAATTATTCTTGGGAGAAAAAGAATAGATAGATGATTTATATCAAATTTGATAAAGCTTTTTCTCGTAGCTCGAACACATGTATATCCCATTCGTTAAAGATAATGGTGGGTGACCTTCATGTTATCAATAATAGAATCGTCTACTTTTCCTATTCTTCGACAATACTCTTTCGTTATTTATATACATTTATATATATATATATATAAGTATGTATATTGGTGTGAACATTATATACATCAACATAACCTCAATCGATAGATGGAAGAGTCTAATCAACAGTATCGATGAGTATGTCGTAGTAGTACTTTGTTTATAGCTAAAAGATAGATAGAATGATAGATACTCACTCGTTTCGCTTAGTGAAATAGAAGTTTAGATTGAGATTTTTATCGTTAGAGATACAACATATGTTTTATTTCTACTTCCAATACGAGGTTGATTATTATAATGATGACGATGATGCGTAATCATCAACAAATTGAACGAACGAATGATCGAAACGCTAGACGTATATATATATATATTCGATGCACTGCTTTTATTACTATTACTTCTACTACTATTATTTGTGTCGCAATCACAACCTACTCGTTGTTGTTGACCACCGCCTTCAATCAACGTGAACAGAAGGTAGCCATTAGACGATAAAGAGAAGGGAAGAGAGAGAGCTGCATTCTCTTCAATTGAGTGGACACGTCGATGGTTTTATTGAAATCGACAAGCAGCCACCGGTATACTGAATAAAAGAAGGGAAAGAAGAAGACGACGACGACGACGACGACGAAAGAAAGATGATCAACAAGTCCTTCATCTGTTGATGTGTGTGCGTTTGTGTGCGTTGACCTGTTTTGACGACACACTGACAAAAACGACGAATGAAGGGAGAAAAATCGCTCACTCACTCTTCGATCAGTGTCGCTTCCGCACGTATAGTTGAACGCAGACATCTATAATAAAAAAAGGAAAAAAGAAAGAACTGAAGAGCAAAAAAAAGAACATAGTTTTCTTCGTGCTTCATTGTCAAACGATCAAGCAATCGATCGATCGACAGTGGCTTATCATCTCGTCGTTTTTTTTCTTCATCTTCCTCAGTCTTAGTAGCGAATATAGAAAGCAGAATAGAAGAAGAAAAAGCTAGTAAATGCATATAAGTCACAATCAACTTACAAGAACCGTTTGATTGTCATTAGTGAGAAGGAAAAAAAAAAGTTCGACTAAAAATCTTCTTAAATAATCACGATTACAAAAATTCAATACATATAATCATGTAAAGATTTCCTTGAAAACGATTAAATCTGTTACTTTAATTCTCGTCGAGGTACTTACATACTTTCTTGTGTCACATTCAAGGCTTAAGAATATATATATATATGAATCGTTGAATATGTATACTCTCAAGATCTATTGACACATGTGCAATTGGTGTGAGAAACGATTTGTTAGTGAAAAATTTTCAAATAAATAATCAATAGAATACAAAGTTGATTTTTTTTAGTCATTCTAATCTAAAAGAACAACAAAATTGACACAAGCACAAATCTAGAATGACAGATATCATTGCATAATCGAACAAAATGCTTATATGAGCTAACCGGTATGTTCCTATCTTCGATCATTCGTCATACCCTAACAAAAAAAAAAAGGAATTTCCTCTTTGAATGTAAATGTCACCATTCTTTCTCTCTCACTCTTTCTCTCTCTCAATTCAACTATACAAAACGGAAATAAAAGATTGTGTCATGTCAAAAAAAAAAAGTAACGAACGATTATTAAAAATTGTATGTAGTTGTTAATGGATGATGTAAGTTGTCGATTGAAAAATGCGTATAGATATGAATATATATATATATATATAATAAATAGAGTGATATGCAAAGAATGGAAATGTCTGATGTTTCGAACATATACTCATATACACACATATGGATAATCGGATGAGCGCTATTTATATGCGTGTATAATGTATGACGTAAGAATAAGAGACAAGATATGAGTATATATATAGTCTAATCCAACGAGAGAAAGGAGAGATTTGGTGAACAAACAAATAAACTATATACGTTTGTTCATAAATAAACATCCATCAAGTCTATAACGTAAGCAAGATGCGTTATTCAAGGTTGTTTTCTTTTTTTAGTTGTTGTGAAAAGACAACAATAGACATTTCCACCCCCTGTAGGTCACATTCCGTTAATATTAACAGTGAAAGTAAATCACAATGGCTCTCAAGTCCCATTAACTTTATACATACGTTGACGGGAAAAATTCAGCTGTCAAATTACAATGATCAATGAGAATATGTCGCCTTCTCATACCTTTATTCGTACACATGATATCGATTTACACATACGTCGTACAAAAGACATGGATAGAGAAAGAAATTAGTCTACTTCAAGGTTATTTCAAGTGGACACACGCGCACATACGTACATATTTCTTGATTGCCAGATTGTGTTGTCACTCTTAAAACAACAGATTTCTTTTTTCAAGTGGCTACATACACGCATACACACAAGAATAATGTTTTCCGCCATTTCATTTAAACATCAAATGAATTTAGAATAAGTCTTACAGGTGTTTATTCTATTTAGTTTGATGAAACAAAATTTATATTTATATTTATTCACATTGAGAAGTTCAATCGGTCATTTAAATATAAAGTTCTTACCTTTCAATGATCGAACATTGATCCTATCAATCTTCTATTCACATTTAAATAATCAATAGTCCTCTATATTGCTTAGCTTGCTCTTTTCTTTCTCTTTCTTCCTCATTCAATCCTTACGGTTATTTACTTTGTGAACAAGATAGAAGGCAGGGCACGGCTCAAGCACTGAATAAGGAAGACTATAACAATAACAATAAAAAAAACGAGCGCGAATGAACGTATATATGTATAGTTATATATATATATATATATATATATATATATGGACTAGTAGGCGGGCATGCAGGCAGAAAATGATAATCGGGAAGGGGTGGGTGAACTTTTCTTCATACTCACTATAGCTCATAGCAGAGCATATGAATAAAAACAGACCATCATGAAATATACAACCTGTGTGCACGCATGTGCATGTTACTACCAACAACGCGACTGAAGAAATCTCACGAAAAATACAAGAGAATATCCATGCATAATAGAGAATTTATTATGTACTTTAATCATCTTAACAAAGAATGGAATTATAATCTAAATGATATCTTCTATATGTTTCTAATACTTCAATAAGAAGGAAGAAGAAGAAAAAGAAAGAAGAAAGAAGAAAAAAGAAACGAGTCATTGTACACACCTTGTCAAGGATTGATACTTACTCGTAGATGGATGATAAAACACAGAAAAAGAAATCTTTGTCCG